CTTCCAGGCGGGCGGAGGCTGAAGGAATTCGCGGATATGTTCGTTTTACGTGGCTCTGTAAAGTGTGTGTGCTCATTCAGAAGCCCGCCATCTGCAAAAAGCCCAAGTTTTTAGTACCCTCCAGTGTCATCGCCCCGAGTTGGACAGGCAAAACAGTGAGTGACAGACCCAAAGCCAGGTGCTCCAGTGTTTCCCTCCATCCTCGCTCCGGGTGTGAGGACAGGGGAGTAGGGCCAGGGCAGAGTGGGGGACGAAGAGTCGTTTCATCAGTGAACAGTAAATGGAGTTACAGGCAGTTGTGTGAGAGGATGTTGGTGCTTACTTTTCAACTTTTTCAAAGAATGTGTCACAGCAAATTTGACCTCCTCCAATTCCTAACGTAAATGTCATTTGCAAGGAATTGCATTCACACGTACTGTTTCATTTCCAACCTATGAAAAATATTTCCCCATTACCTCCGAGTGAGACAATTGATAACTCATACATAAACTTGCTGTTTTGAGGTAATGGTCTAAAGATTCATGCTGAAGTGCTGTGCTTTGTGACATTGGTAGTTGGGTCAGTGGTTTTTTTTAATGAAAGCTTTCAAAGTAATCTTAAGTATTTTTGTTTGTTTCAGGAAAAAATGCATTGAAAGTGAACTAGAAGCTGCAAGAAGATGGTCTCACAAATGGGGATTCTTGAAAACACCTCCTGAGGAGGTAAAATGGAATGGCATATAAGCAACATATGAAATTTACTTGTACACAAATTTATCTGAACACAAAATTATGAGAGCACAGAACACTAGAAAAGTACTGAGTATGCTTTACTAAGCTAGGTTGCGAGGTAACAAGTCCACTACTAAGATGTGCTCAAAGTTCCATTTGTCCTCTGAATAAAATATGGCAAGTGGTAATTTACATGCTATGCATATTCTGATATATTTCTCTTGAGAAACATGACTCCTAATAGTGTTAACAAGTACTAGATGCACACTGACAGGAAAATATTTCCCCTTTGTCTATCCATATGGTAGTTTGAAAATCTAGGGGAAAAGGTTCAAGCTAATTAAATTTTCAGGGGGGGAATTTACAACAAACGAAAATATTTGGAGAGATGTCTATTCTCACTGATGTTTAGATATTAGAATATAGGAGCACATAATGTTACGTTTGGAATCACAGTATTTCATTGCTAAAGAACAGGATTGATGCAGCCCCCCAGTAGTTATACATGTAGTTTCCAGGGGGCTAGAAGTACTTAATTTGTTCTAGGATTTTTTGAAAATTCCTGTAGGCATCCAGGTTAGCACCTTTGAAAACTTTGGTCCTCTAGGCTTCAACATCCGTCCTTGATAACTATTGTCTGTCATGCACACCACCTTTGCACAGTATGAATAGATCTACAGCTGAAAAGTTGATGATTATGCATTGTCTCTATTGGGGAACGTGTGTATTTAGGATTTGTTAATCTTTGGTTTGTGGTCAGATAAGATAGATATATTTCTACCCCTTTTTGGACCAGTGATATAGTTAAGAGAGTTGGAATCACTCAGCAATACTTAGTCTTTCAACTGAAATTCAGAATTACATCAACTTCTGAAACCAAAAAATGCACTACCATAATTTCCAAAGCACTACAATAAGTAGTTCTGTTTTAGATAGAAAGAACAGGGAGTTTAGATGCAACAATGAGGGGAATGGTGTAGATAACAGATATTACAGCATATTTGAAAAGGTAAAGAGGCCAATTTTTAACGTTGATGTTTTGGGTTTAGTTGATTGAAGATGAAAAGAAAGAAAATACAAAGCCCAAGATACAGCTTCCGGAACACCTGCAGGTTCGACCTTTGACACCTGTGGAAAAATACATAAAGGTTAGAAAATTAGATTTTAAAATTGCAATACAGCAGTATGTGTCTTAAGAAACCACACAAGCTCTAAAAATCAGTTGTCTTGTAGAGGTGGGCCTTTAACTAAAGGTCAAAGTAAATTGTATTTGCAACCTGAGCAGTGCTTTAAAAGCATTCATTTAAGACAAGGAATTGCCCTTTGGATATGGTTGTTAGTTTGCAGAGCTTTCACTGTACATAATCATCTTTCTATAAAGCACCTCCCCCATGCACTCCTCTGTGACATCCAGTAACAGAACAAGTCAGCTGTACAGCTTAGTACAGAAGAGTGCTCCCAGGGCCAGTTATGACTGCTGACCATTCATTGATCAAATATACATATACATGGCTTACTTCAATGTTTATCATAACCTCAACTCTCAGTTTTAACTATTGGTTAAGATGCAGTCATTTTCCTAGCTTTATTTAAGACAGTCATCTTTTTGGCAGAGACAATGCCACTGTCCTCTTTAGTGGCACAAATTAGTCAGAAGCCAGTTCTAATGAGCCAATTCATAACTATTTGATTTTATATTATATGATTTATATTCACATATTCAGAGTCTAAAAGTTGTCAAACAGCTGAAAATGCAAGTGGAGTGTGACTGATGGTTTGATTTATAAATATACAATGTCAGAATCACCAATGAATAGGATAACTATGCAGGCAGCTAAATCAGTGACACTGTGAGAGGAACATACTCATAAAAGGAGAAGCAGAATATGCTAAGGAAGGTTAGTCCACATAAAGAAGATTAAGGAAACAAGAGAGACTGGAAATTCCTACTTGCTGAACTAGCTTTCTTTCAAAGGATTCCAAGGGTGGTGAGATAGGGTGAGGAAGTAGTAAAAGCTTTTACTGAGATTAAATTGAAACAAAAATTAAGAGCTAGTGCTGAGCATGGCAGAGAAATGAAATGGCAGCATTTCTGCCATTAGTGCTACTCATTCTTCAGTTTTGTCCCAAGCCTCCAATTTTGGTCAAGTCTATTTCTGCTTCAGCACAGTGAGAGTGTATGTGTGTTAACAAATCAGAGAGTTATCAGCTGCTAAAGTAGCACGCATAGCCTGGTGCATACTGAAATAAGGATCATAGTTTCAATTTCACCGCAGAACCTTTATTTGCTAAGGAAGATAAGGGTTAGCTGTGATTTAGGTCACCCTTTACATATTCAGACTGAGGTTTCTTAAGTCCTTATTCAGAACTATGTGTTTTTCTGCACATTTAGCTTCATCGTAACAGTCATCATATCTGTTCTCTCTAGGTTAGATTAGTAATTGCTTCTTCATAGTCCCTTCCCCCAGATCGTAAGTGGGACATGATTTCCTTCATTATCCTGCTCAGTGGGTGGCACTTTTGGCCATAAAAATTATCTTTTCAGAGGAACTGCTCCACCTAAGTATCATAAACATTTTTTCATCTTGGCCAAAGAACAAAGTGAACCAACTCTGGCAAGAGAACTGAAACATTGTTCTCTTGCTGTGTATTTCTCTACTAAGTCCCCAGATGCTATGATATAACGTGCCCAATTGAGATGATTCAGCCAAAGTAAGCACAGCAGTCAGTGAACAGAGGCTGTTGGCTTTTGCTTTGTTTCCTTTTTAGCTAGATTAGTTGCAGATTAACTTGATGCTTACCCATCTTTTAAAGTAGAAAGAAGGTGGAACGAATAAGTAGTTCTTGATGCAAAAGCCAGCTTGGTCAGTAATATCTTTAGCATTTGGCCACAAAACTATTATTCCATAGCTGCATTGCTACCAAATACATTACAGCAAGTATAAAATGCTATTTCTCCTGTTTAAAGCTGACTGGCTTTAAAGATTATTACTCTGTAAAGAAAAAAGCTAAAGCTGAAGATAAAAGTCTTCTCCTAATAACGTAAAGCCCGTAAAGCCCTTAGAAAGTTGTTGAGCGAAACTTGGGGAAAAAAAAAAAGTATGCTGACATACACTACTAAACAGTAACTTTGCTTTTTGATTTCCTGTTAAACATACCAATTTAGGCACTGAAATACTTCTTTTTTTTTTAGAATAGTGGTAAATGGAAGTTAGTTACTTTATTGGAATTTGGCCATTTTATGTCTCTCTTTCCC